CGGGGCTGCGCGCAGGGGCGCGGGGCCCTGGCGCTGCGGATCCGTTCCGAGCCGCCCGCCTCCTCCCGCGAGCCGCCCGTCGCCGGGAGTCTCCTCCCACTTGACTTCTTTTTGTTGTCGCCGCCCCACCTCCCCGCCGTGGGGCTCCGCGGAGCCGCGGTGCCTCTTCTCGCCCAGGCCAGAGTAATCGAGCGTCGCTGGGCCGCTGCGAGCGCGGCCGGAGGGCGTCCCGGAAGCGCGGGGACCGGACGAGTCAGCACCTGGAGCGCGGCCCGGCCGCCCGTGCCCCCTTGCCACCTCCCTCTTTGGGGACTTCCTGCTTTTCTTACTTGGCCGCCTTTAATCCCGTAGCCTTGACCGTGTGGGCAGTGGAAAACATTTCTTAAGGCAAAGTCTCCCACTTACGACAGTGACTATTTAATTAATTTTATGAGGACTGCAAGTGAATTTAACCGGGGAGGCAGGAGTCACGTTGGGAATGCTAATGCGGACCGGCGGACCTTCAAAGAGCAGGAACACCAACTGAGAATTCAAGGCTGTAGTGTGGGTAAGGTCTGGAGACCTCAGAACATTTTATAGGCTCGTTAAATCTCATGGCAGGCCTTTGTTAGGTAGCACAGCGTTATGCCCATTTTTTAAAAAGAAGGAAACATTCACTGAAAGCAGAGGCAAAAATAGGACTTCCTGCTTTGCAGGTCCCAAGAGAGTGCTTGGTCAACCAATTTGGCAAGTGTTTCTTGCTGACCCATCATAGCATTACTATTTTGCTTTCACCGCTTTCCTTTGGTTTATCTTTTTCCTGGCTGGGAAATCTAAGGTTTACACGTGTAGAAAGCATGGTATAGTTTCTGGTATTTTATTTGCTACCAATGATGTGTATGATGGTATTGTGATGAAATAATCAAGGAATGGTTTGCTGAGTAGAGAATTCTTTGTTTTGACTCATGTAAGTGGTGATTTAATTGAAGCCCCTCAACGCCTGCGCAGAACTAACAATCATTCGGAGTAATGTTTCCCTCAGTTACCCGTACAACTATATGCCAGGTTGTTCTTTGGTAAAAATTAAACCTGTTGTTTTGAAGACTTTAGTCAGGCCCCTGCACTTTAAATCACACGATGTCATTGTGTTTAAATTGTTCAGGCTGCCTGGCAAGGGGGCTCACAGCTGTAATCTTAGCACTTGGGAGGCTGAGGCAGGAGGATTTCGCTGAGTTAAAGGCCACCTGGATTATATAGTGAATTCAAAGTCAGCTGAACTATATAGCAAGAACTCGTCCCAGTAAAAACCAAATAAATAAATTGTTCACACTTTCATTTATGTTACAATAACAGTAAGTTCAATGTAAGGTAAGCACAGTTTAAATGTAGGTTAGCAATGGTAAAAGAAAGGGGTTCCAATGCTCACCAAATTTTCTTGAGAAACAGTGATCAATTTATGAAAGTCTACTTTTCTGAGAAACTATCTTGTAGATAACAATATGTAAAAAAAATAACGATTGATAATTTCCTACCACTTTGTCTGTAATTTGGTAAGCCCCCCCATTATTGTTATCCTTCTTTTACTCTTTAAAATAAAATAAAATAAAATAAAGTGTACTGTTCCATCAGCACACTTAGAAACCATTTAGAACTTTACATATTCCTAGGAACTATTAAGGGAATAGAATTATCTTGACATTTTCTTAGAACCGTTTTATGTAAGTAACTGGTTGTCCCCCAAACAAGCAACGTCAAGAAACTAATCATTACAGTTACGAAAGAAGACACTGTGAAATCGGCACTTTCTCATAGGAGAAAGGAGACAGCAGATAATGTGAAGTCGCATACTTAGTGATATTTATAAACAGACAAAAAGGTACCCATGCCCTTTTGCTTATCATTCAAAAAATCCATGCAACAAAATTTAAATGTGGAAGTGCTTTAGGCCTAAAAATGTTCAGTAGGGGGTATCAATGATAGATGAAATATGGAAGCAAATTAAATGCTCAACATGAAGGAATTAGTTGAAGAAATTATCCTATACTCCACTCAATAGAATTAGGGTTACCAGAGTACATATAGTAAATTTGTGTGATTTTTTTTTAAAAAGTATCCCTTCTGGGCAGTGGAATTGCTAGATAAGTCCAACAAATCAGAAACAGACACCCCTATTCAACTCAGTGGATCTCAGACCCAATTTCAGGCCTCCTCCTCCCAGCCTTATATTAAGTACAAGCTGAAACAAATATTGTATGGCCTCTTAAGAATATGATTTTGAAGACATGGGAAAATGACTATGATGTACTAAGTGAAAAAGGGCTATACAATAATTATAGCACTGCCCAAATCATTAGCAAACGAACATAAAAGAAAATCATAAAATGTTTCCATAATGGGCAGTTGTACAATCAAAATAAATTTTTATTATAAATATATATTGTGCACAGATAAAAATGGTAAAAATCCATTAGCCATGAAACTACATTTTCAGTCTTTACCATTATTGCTACAGTTTTACTACTGGGTTTCTCAATAGCAAACAGTAAGAGCCAAATCTGGCTGTCTCAAGCAGAGAAAAAATTTCCTGGAATGATACTGAATGGTTCTCAGAATTGCCCAGAAACCTGGACAACCAGATCTGAAAACAAAGGCCAAAAGAAGGCAGGCAGCATAAATAGACTGGCTGAGACCCCGTCACTGGTCACAGAAATCCCCCCACATACCATCTTTGGACTCTCAGCTCTGCCCCCCTAATTTTCATACCTGTCACTGCAGTTCTTAAGTTGATCAAGTCTACATTTTGAGCCCATGCCAGGACCTACCAGCAAGCACCTTAGCCAGTGGTTGTGTTATTGGGATGCTGAGTCACTGATACTATCAGCTCAGGTGGCTGAAGACCCCAGAGCTGATCCCTCTGCCAGTGACCATTCCCATGCATCCATAGAGTGCCTTCCGCATCTTATTTCCTCTGTGTGGTCTGACATGAAGACATATAGAACGTAATGCCCTAGTGGGAAAGAGCCAGTGATGTCCGCAGTAGAGGTTTTCCATAACATGAAAGGAGTTCAGATGTCAGCCAGTTTGTTTCAGGAAATGCCCATAACAGCATCCTAGATACTAAGAAATATCATCACAGTGTTTGCCAAAATCTACAATATGGCTTTAGAGTCTATTAATTTTCTTTTTTCTGCATAAAAATCACCCCCAAACTTAGTGACTTAAAATAACATTTATTATCACGTAGTTTCAGAGGCTGGGGACATAGCTCAGTGGCACAAGCACCTGCCTGGCAAGCACAAGGTCCTGAGTTTCATTCCTGGTACCAAAAAAAATAAAATAAATTTTAAAAAATATATCACATAGTTTTTGTGGAGCAAGAACTGGCTCAACTTCAGTGGGTCCTCTGCTTTGCATCTCTCAAGCATTTAAGTTGTCATCTGGGGATGCTGTCGTTTCAAGTCTTGACTGGAGTAGGGTCATCCCCAAGTTCACCAATGTGATTTTTGATAGGATTCAGTTCCTCAGGGGACTTCAGACAAAGGGCCTCAGTTCCTTCTAGTTGTTGGCCAAAAGTGGTTCTCAGGGCTTCACAATTGGATCTCTCCAACATGGCAGCCAGTTTCATCAAAGTGTGGAAGCCAGAAAGGCAACAGCGACAGGACCAGAACCATCGTCTTTTGTAACTGAACCACAGATGTGACATCCCACTGCTTTTATTGTGATCTGTTTGTTAGAAGTAATTCACTAGGTCCAGCTCACATGGAAGGGGAAAAGAATAAACAAAGCCATTTACACGAATAGGCAGTCATTGAAAACTGCCTATTGTACAGTTGTTACAAGTTCCAGTGGCTCAGGAGTGTGGTTCTACCACATTCCCATCAAAGATAGCTTCTAGTCCAGAGATTGGCAACTTTTCCTAAGTAGTGAATATTTTAGGCTCCATTAGCCATATGGAGCCTGTTGTAACTATTCAACTTTGACTTCATGGAGGAAAAATAACCATCGATAATACATAAACAAGCACATGTGGCTATGTGTCAATGAAACTTTATAAAAAAAAATAGGCAGCAGACTGGATTTGGCCCACAGAATATGGTTTATGATCCCTGTTCTAGGTCTTACATCAACAGTCATCAAGTAACAAGTCATTATAGAAAGCCCCTCTGGACCTCGTCACTGTCCAAAAAAGTTCACATTTGTAATCACATGGAAAAGCTATTGGAATTCTAGTAAGTTAATTCCAGTCTACCAATTCTAGTGCAATGCACAGCAAGAATAAAGACACTAAGGCATTCTTGTAGTTGTGAGGAGCCAAGGGAGTCCTAAGTCCAGCTAGAACAATGGCTAACCGGAACAAAGGCCTTGACCCAGGGCCTAACTGGGGTTTTATGAATTCATGAGGAAGGGAGTGGCTCAGAGATGATCGACTTGTGAGAGTGGCGGGATGAGTGCCAGGAGCGTGGCTAGGTAGGAGGCCTGAAATCACCTCTGCCATATGCAGAGAGAAAGACATGCAGGAAGAGTAATCTGCATTTCACAAATTGGGGCAGAATCTAGTGTTTTGGGGTCATTGCTTCAGTTGTGATGTGTAATCCATGCCCTGACAAGTCATAGCCTCTTTTCTGGAGGCTTGGTCTCAGCCAACAGCCTGGCATGGGCATTGATTCAAAGACCACATCAGCATCTTAGCTAGACCCATTTGCACTGCTTAGAGCCAGTTGAGGGGATAAGGAAATGTCCTAGCCAGCCCTGTACACATCAACACGTGGAGGTAGGGCCAAATGCTCTTCATTCAAGGAGAGCCGTCCAGGTAGTCCTTCGCATCCTGCATGCTAAAGCATGTGTGCTTTGCATGAGCTACAGCCCCAGGCCGAAGGGAAAAATTGTAAGGAATTTAACATCCTTGCCTGAAAGAAGTTTCAGCTTTATGGTTTAAAAAAAAAAGTTACTTAACCATTTTTCCAGGGTAAGAATGAAAAGTGCTTTGACAAAGACAAAAAGTGTCATGGACTTTTTCTGCTATCCCCAGAAAAAGTGCCTAACCCATTGGTGCCTAACCCATTGTTATAAATGAAATGAATTAATTCTTAAATTCTTAAACTGGGATGTTTTTGTAGCTAGGTTATAGCACAGAGATGATTGATACAAATTTTTTAATTGTAATGATCCTCAAGGAAGCACCAGGCCTAATCTGGGATCTAAGTACATAAAGTGATTTAGTAAAGGAATTTATTTCACAGATCTCTACTTCTTTCATCATGGCTACCTATCATTTTATGCATGGTAATTAAATTTTTAAACACTTTTGTTTGTTTTCCTTAAGTGCTGTCAAAGATACACAAGGAAAAATATGCTCAACAACATGTGAGATGTTCCAACATTGCAATACTTCAAAGATGTCAGAACATCTGTATCTTAAAAAGCAGCATCAATAGAAAATCTACTTTAAAGAATCTTTTAGTGTTTTTCTGTTCAGTTGCAACTGATTTAGTCTACGAATATTTAACTTAGAAAGAAACATCAATTATTTAAAGAGGGATGGAATTTGCTGTGGAATTTGCTGTGGTC